GGGAAAATCAAAGGACGAGGAGCGCATAATATTAGCGTACATGGATATTTCGTTTAACATTACGTGTCTTCGCTCTCTACTGACACTATACGCATTTACGTTTCCCCACGTGATCTTTTCTCGTTAAAGCGACGGAGTTTCTCTAATAGGGAATTCCGTAGATGCGCTTGAAGATTTTTAAAATGCCCCGGAGTAGTCGGCGACTATGTCTGTCCTACGTCACGTCCCTCTGTCTCCGTTACCTGGGTCGGCTTTCTTGATATTTTCATATGAAATAGCACGGTCGTCGCGCATTTCGAGAATTCGGTTTACCTGGGGGAAACGCAGTAAATACGATGGATCGTCTATGCAACCGCATATTTTAAACATATCTTGATAATCCCGGCATTTCTTCTCGGGGTCCAGGATATCAAAGAGCGAAATTGACAGCGAGAGCGTTGGACTGCGATCCGCAGGAGGGGCACTGCGGAAAACCGGAAGTAGGACTCGTAATGTCAGTCTTCAAGCCGGAAGATTCGTTCCTGATAGAAAGTGCAACTTGCATTCGTTTCGCGCGAGCGACTAGACTTTCGTATCTTGAAAATAAGTCTCAAGCCAGGTAACTATTCCTGTCTCGTATTGGTCAACGACCAGGCTGACCAGGCTGACCAGGTTGACGGTTCCGTTCGGATCGTAACGCAAGTTCAACCGACAAGGACGCTTTCTTCTGATCGGAGTACCTCGAGGCTACGGTTCTCTTTTCATCAAGCGATAAGTCACCAGTCACTAGCTACAGTCCTCTCGCCATATTCGTTCTCCTTACCATTCAATCTCCTCCGTCTTCCATCGTCTCTGAATTTACAATTCCGATTTAGCCCATGTAGGCTAGTTACGTAGCCACTCGTGTCGCCCGCTGCCTTGCGAGAGTCGATATTCATCCCGTCTATATAGTCTTGCAAAGCAGTAGACTTCAGCCAGACCGTACGCCCACTTGTACCTTGTCCAAGGAGGATGCGTGTCGCGTACTGTGGTCCGCATAAGGACTGCGTAGATATATGTCTATTCGGCAGGCAGAAGGTGCTCGACGTTCTCATCCCATCGGACGGCTCCATCGAGAATGGGGACAATAGTGGAAACCGGAAAATTTACGAGTCGCTTGTCAAAGTGGCTACTAATAGCTATTGCTGATACCGGTAATATATCTACCATATAGTACAGCATAATAACTATGCTGGCTCTCGTGCAGGGTGTATCCCTATGTATTCTACAGGGTCCTATGCCGTTATGGTTGTTTCATGTATCCTGGTCTGACCTAGCTTTGCTCTGATGCTCGTAACGCACGATCCGGTATACCGGAGGTATATTCCGTCCTCCTGGGAGAGTCTGCACTACCTGTATGTATGTATCTTGGAGTGACTATATACTCGTCCACGAGGACAAGGTCGAGTAGCCTTCACCATGGCCGGCACTCTGTTCTCCACTGGTAAAAGTATTGCCGGTTCAGTGCCAGGGCAAACCGGAAAAGAAGGCCTTGGGCTCTCACGATGCTTCACGATCCTTTACGATCGTCCACGATCATCGTGAAGCCTTACCGGAGAAAGTGCAGTCCGATCAACGGCCGTGAAGATGCTCACGGGCTCCCTGGAATCTATGCTAATGACCTGCGGTTAAGCCTCTTGACTCTCGACTGGTTGACAGTCCGTTCAGGAGCGAAGTTGTCGAAGGGGGAAGTAAAAGGAAAAAATGAAAAAAAAAACAGCTGCACGTGTATCGTTCATAGAGAGTGGTACGCGTTGTGTTGTTTCAATGGGTTTATGGAATTTCAACGTTTTCATATGTCGCTTTTAAGAGAAAACGTATATTTACGACGTGGCATCCATCATGGCCCATTTTTGACTTTTGTTTTCTCTCTTCTGTAAACCTTTCGCTTTTACTTAGAGCTTCTATCGGGTTTGAGATCAAATTTCAGAGGTATTATAATGCGATAAATGGTTAATATTCGCATTATAATTTCACCCGATGAATCATGCGGGTTCGGTTTGTTACTTCGGGACTTGGGAGTCATGGTGAAAACTCTGATGCTCGTGGTTTCAATTGCAAGTCCCGGTTCCGGTTCCGGTTTGACGATCAGCATTATTTATTACATTTATGGTGACTATGACGTCATACGATATGGACTTTATTTCCGGTTGAGATTAACTGCGAATCGAGACTCATGATTCAGGCGGGAGATATGCAATTTTTAGTTTCAATAGAACAATCCTTGTGTCCAATCTCTATATGGACCACGTGTGTCATTCGTTATGCAGCTTTCTCGTTCAATGATAATCGTTCCTTTATGGTCAAGTCAGTTTAGTCTACTGCGGCCGAAGGGTTTGCAATATTTTTGTGATTATTTTTATTGCTCTTAAAATGTTACCCAAGGGTTACTAAAATCGTCTCGATTCAATTGTTTTCGGAATTGCGCAAGTGCGCTGTGAAATTTTTGCGTGTCATGTAAATCAGTTATTTCTCAACTATAGCCAGCTATTCAGCTTTTTGGGTATTTGCCTATTCAAATATTCTCCGTTGCTCCATTCGCTTTCTATCTGTTTCGAGGGAGAAAAGGATTCTCGGAAGGAAATTTAACAAAACATAACAAGCAAGTGAAATCTTTACTGGAAAGGAAGATGTTTTCGGCCAACAAAAGGAATGCCATATGGGAAACAGTAAAAGCACGTATGGAATATAGCATAGTGTAATGATGGCGTGTTTAGGCTGCATGAAAAAGTTTAGCTCACCGAGGCGTAGCCGGGATAAATCGAGCTAATAAAGATCTAAAGAATTACGTCCTCGTTACGGACATTACCAGCGTGTATTACAGGTTACGTGTCTTATTTGGAGCGCGAGAATTATTACGCAATCATACAGTACGGCATCTTATCATGTAGGAAGTTTCATTTCCGTTGAATAAAAGCCAATAAGCCGTAAGAATAAGATCAACTTGACCAAAATTATTATTATTATTATTACATATGTATAGGTATCGTTGTTAAAAATTTAGACACTCGCTAATTCAAACAGTACAATATATACTTAGAAAGGATCGGCAAATGTGGTTCAATAGACAAGTAACGGTACGGATAGCGTCGTATCGCCGTCCCGACGTCTCAGCGTCCCCGAGTCCCTGATAAAGCTTAACTAAACGACGAACGTTGTAAACTTTCTCCGATAATAGCTGACATCAAACCAATTTCTCGTTGGCGTCATTGCACTCGTACTTAGTAGTCGATATAAAGGCGAAACCGAAGACAGAAAGAGCCGACACGAAAGTACGGTGCTTCGTTAGCGATTAACTGGAAATGGTGAATCTTGAATTTTGACGTAGATTCCATTTGGGGTAACTCTTGCGGTAGTCGGTAATTTCGAAAGAAGGATCTTGGGAACAATACCTTAATTGGGATCTTGACTATTGGCTAATTTTCCCAGTGGATAACGAAGGATGAAGAAATAACTTTGTTGATGATTCTAATTGTGGCCAATACGGAAATACGAGAACCAGTCCTGGGTTACATCTTGGAAGTTACGACACGAGCGGCAAGAGCAGAAGGCGGGTCGCGCGTTCACGAGTCGCTTCGAAATATCAAATTCCCATCGTTGCATTGTACTCTGGAGTGTTGCGTCTTACGATCCGTCAAGTTGGTACTTACTCGCCTGAAGTGTTACGAAACTTCACTTTTTGCCAACTTCACGAAGTTTTTAAAACAACCGAAGAGGATTAGGAACGAGGTGGGACAAGGAATATAGGGAATAGAAATGGGAATAGGAAGACATTAAGTTAATTATTTACTGTTTAAAGCTATAGTTTATAGTTATCGATTGGCAGCCAGGAGAGAATATTCTTGGTTAAATTATATTGAAATAAATGTATGAATATCCTTTAACGATTTTATGAAAAACATCCCATTTGGTATGAGGTTACCGAGCCCCGAGTGTCGGATGACCTCAGACGCGAGAAAAGAAAGAAGAAAGTTTAACCAGCCGATGAGATGTTGCCGCACCTGCGCACATTCCAATCCCAGTGACCCTAAAATCCTAAAAACGTATCTACGAATGTTGCCTTGACCGAGAAAGAATCGATGAGTGTACGCGCGTGTGATTGGGATTGAGATTAGAGAGTAAAATTACGAGACTGGGATTCGGATTTGAAATCGTAAAGGGCGGCATAAAAGTGTCCGCAATAGAGAATAACAAAATGTGCATCCCTTATGGTCGACGAGAACAGTCAAGACGGATGGAGTTAGGGACTCGAGTAGAAGATAAACTCTAAGATATGTAGAATAACCGACGTTTTTCTCTATACAGGTAGAACCATTCGGTGCCGGTTACTATTACGAGAAAGAATAAACTAGCCGATTCTTTTTTACCCAGGAAAAATATTATGCAAATTTGATGCTCAAAGGCGTCTTTTCTGAAGATCGATTTTACTTTAGAGTTTTCATTTGGCTCGACTTCTCGCCGCTTTTCCCAGGTCGAGCAAAATTAATTTCCATTTTGGAACTGGCTATACTGTTTTGCATTTTGCATCCCAAAACAACTTTGTTTACGCGTCTCGTTACTCCTAATGGCGCCGGGATGCAAAGACGCGGTAGCACAGCCAACCCCATCAAGGTTACCGTTTAGCCTTGCATTATTGAGCTAACCTATATGCGCCTTGAAGGCTGAATAACACGGCTCCTTCCATTTGCTTATTTCTAGCACTTATCCGCCTCACGCACCTCCAGCTCTTCATTGAACCTTTGGTAATTACAGCTTTTAAAAAAGTACACCTTCAAATTGCCCGACAAGGTAAAATCTCCATCATCGCTCCTTCATATTTTCACAAAGAAGAAATTTCACTCTCTAAACGCTTCTGTTTGCCATTCGAAAAATCCAACGTCACTCGTGCCTCTCGTCTGGATTCGATACGACACGAAGACTACCTTCGGCGCGCATCTTCGCCCCAAGAGTGACTCGAGTAGCCTACTTTCTCTGCAAACAGAATTTTTAAATGATGTGTGAGGAGAAGTTGCTCTCTGCTCTTCCACTCGCTTAGGCCTCCTCTTCACTCTTCGCTCTTCGCCATGGTAGCATATACACACATATATATCTCTATCCTGCACTGAATACCTCATTTACTCTCTCTATCCTTCTTCCTCTTTCCTCTAGTTCCGCGTGACTCCCGAAGACTCCTCACGACTCGTACTTCCTCTCGGTTCCTCCTCTACTCGACGCTCACCCTGGACGACCTGGTCGGTAGGTACCAACCTACTCCCGCCGATTGTGCTGGCAGCGATGGGAGCTTGTACGGCGCGTGCCCCCTCGCGGAGTCTATATAAGCTGGGCCCACTCGGGGGCCTCAACATTTTTTGAGTGAAGCGCAGGGGACCAAAGTGCTTGATACGTAAAGATGGTGCGCGACAGATGAACCGAGGTAACAACTGACAGATCTTCTCAAGGAAGACATCATTTACTGAGTGTGGTGTATTCATTTATATCGGACTGTACAGTGATTTGGATTTCATTGATTTACTTAGTGTAGTGTGGATTCGAGATAAGCAAGTGCCATGGCTAAGTTTAAGGTAGGTACTGATTCGTACACAAGGATATATATAATTTTACGTATAAAGATTTTCTCTCTTTCTTAATTTCTTTTTTTTTTTTTTTAATCAAAAAAAGGATCGTGCCAAAAAATGCTATTCAAGTGCGAGCGCAGTTTCTCATAAATCTTCAGATAATTAATCCCTGCGCGAACGTGACGCAGTAATGCACGACACACGATTTTATACACGCTTCACTGCATTAATTACGATAATTAACCAGCGACTGATTCTTGACCAGAGATTAAGTAATTGCCAGGTTTTTATCGGGTAACGTACTCGCTGATATCAGGGCTTCTATGATACAGTACCCAGTGACCAATTCTATTTTGTCAAATTTTCTGTGATTACCATTTTATATTTTACCGGGTCGATATGGTTATTATATGTGTACAAGTCCATTGATCTTTATACGTTGATAAGAAATTATTTGATAAATATAGAAATGTCAATTTAACAATTTTTCTCGTGACGCTAATGACTCAACAATCTCTTTCTCCATCCTCGAGAAGAAAATGAGAAATTGATAGCTGCAGCACTGTGAATGCAATTGATCCCCGATAAGAAGCAATGTATCGCATAATGCACGTGTCCTCCGTGATTAGCGTATGACTATGCATGAGGAAGGCGTTTGACCCAGTCAAGTGAGCTACTGCACGACCTACGTAATACGTCCTGGGTCTAACTACCTAGTAGGTTGTAGGTATACTTAGTAGTAGGTTGTAACCCTCGAACCTTATACCTAAGAAACACGCAAGACTCCTTCCCCTAGCTGTTTTCATTCTTACTCAATTTCTCACTAATTCCTTTTCCGGAATTCCGCAGAATTAGTCGAACCACGAACCAGTTCCCGGCGACGACGGAATGTCTTGCGATACGATTGGCCACTTGCCTTTATCGCTTTCACAATTATTCCTAAGAACTATTGCGGTCCGTGTCTGTAGCGTCGAATTATAGATTTCATTGGATTGTATTGTTTGTATCATTTTTATTATCCACTCGTTATATTCGGGGCTCTTGGGAATTGAGTTGTTTTTCTCCCTCTCTTCTATCCCTTTCCCCCCCCCTGGGCCTCCTCACTTTCCCAGGTGGTTTACTTCAACGTGGAAGATCCTGGCTAAATGTGTAACTCGGTAGGGCGAGAACCGACCGACTCGTTGAATCTCGTTGAGATTCAAGAACCCGAGAAATTTATGCGGCACTTCGCCTTGGAAGCATAATTTATCGCCTCGTTTACGATCGACCAATTCGTAGCAAGCTTTTAAGGTAGAATCCGTAAGGATTACACCTTCGCTTTCCTCCGAATGTACAACCTTCGAATCCGCATGCCTTACGATTACAAGAGCCTCAGGTTACTCTGGATCGTGAATCGGAGAATCGTTTCCACAGTCTCTCGTCATCAGTTAGATTACTCTTGAGTTTTCACAGATTCACTAGAACACATGCACGGCGTTAACGGGGGCACCGTCCACTGTGCACGATCATTGAGATTTATGCTAAAGCCTGTATGTCATATATAGATTGTGATTAGCCGAAACGAATAAGCGGACGTAGAATTTCTTCGAAGTCATCATCGGGATGTGCAGCAGCCGCATGTAGGAATTTCTCGTGGTCGTCTGGAGAAAGTACAGCTTATTATGTTAGCCTTGCATCTCGGCCAACGTGCTACTTTATCCCACGTTGTCATCCTCGCTCGACCCTCCCTACTCCCATCCTTGACAGATGCCAAAGTTGCATGGAACTATCGCCTATCCTTTATCCCGTAGCAATTCCGGGACTTCCTCGGAGGAAGGATTCAACTCACGATCATTGAGAATTTTGTTCCCTCTCCATCTTTCCTGCCGGAAGTCACCGGAATGCATATTGACTTTCCAGGGTAACATTGGTGGTTCACTTAACGCGCAGTGGATGACGTTGGTTTGCATAATTTTCACATAACACATATAGATATACGTATAGGGTTAGCTTGTGTTCTTCCTAGGAGGATTTTATATTCTCACGGCCTCCGATATGTACAATGAGAATACGTAGAAGCACATGGCCGAGTGTCTGACTATCTATATATGTAGAGAAGACGCACCTGCAGGCGAGTCGAGTGTACACGGCTGTTAAGCCGACTTGCTGGGTCCGTAATTTGCCTAACGAGCTAATTAGTCGGCAGGAGTCTGCTCGCAATTTGGGGCCTCAGCTGGGAGTGAGTATTGGCCATTTGCAAAAAAGAACGCCTGCCGAGAGTGCTGCTCTCCCGTGGGCATCATCTCGTTCCTAGGATCCTCAATGGCTTTTGTATTGCCCGCGTATATGCCTGTGTATTTATGTATTTATGTTAGGTTGGGTTGGTTTATTACACGTGTAGATGTGGAATCGCCGACCGAGAGAGAGTAGCTATAATTCCGCTGCCGGCTGGCACGCACGCGTTGGGGCCTTATATGCAGGTTTCTTATCTCGGCCATTTGCAAATTTCTCCTCCTCGGCGGAGGTGAGTTCGTCTGGGTACTAAATTTCATAGTAGTGACGTCATATGTCAGGTTTGACAGGGGGTCATTGGACCGAAGGCTAAAGGGTGGGAGAGGTTGAGGGGTTTTAATTAAGAAAGAGAGAGAATCATACAAGAGTGTGGATAGTTGGGAGTGGATGCGGCTAAATGTATTATTTTAAGTGGGCATTTTGTTTTTTAGATGGCAGTCGCGCTTCTCTGTGTTCTACTAGTCGGTCAGGATGTCTTGGCGGTGGTGAACAAGGCGTCCTCTAACGTCCAGTCAGGATCAGGACAACATGATGAACTTGGAGAAAATGTAAAGGATGGTGATGCTGGTGATCGTATAAGCAACTCGTATGGACCACCTTCTTTGACGCAAGAATATGGTCCACCGTTTGGTGGAAGTTTTAACGGTCCTGCACCTGCCTATGGACCACCTGAACTAACAGGCGATCTGCGACCGACCCCGATATATGAGCCACCACCTCCCGAACTACCACCAGCCCCTCCAATACAAGGCAACCCTGCAGCTATCTATGGGCCGCCACCTCGCAAACCAAAACCACATTACGGACCGCCGCCAAAGCAAAGTTACGGCCCACCAAAGCTCAGCTATGGTCCACCAAAACCTCATTATGGACCTCCTAAGCAACAGTATGGACCACCACCTTCGTTCAGACCGCCGAGACCGCCATCAACACAGTACGGACCACCTCCAAGCTTTGGTCCACCTCCTTCTTCACAGTATGGACCACCTCCTAGATTCGGACCGTCCAAACCAGGTCATGGACCGCCAATTCCGATAACTGTCGAGGCCTATGGTCCACCGAATATAGCAGCAGCTCTTCCTTTTGGTCCTTCGGGACCTCAGGATGAGTATGGTCCACCACCGTCAGCTGCACAGCCGCCAAGGTTCTCCTCGCCACCTGGGGATTCTTATGGACCACCTCATCCACCGCCACCGCCCCCGGGTGTACCAGCACCTCCTACACCACCTGATATAAAGTACGACGGATGGCAACCTATTGCCGGTTTGGTTGGAGCTCCTGATCAGCAGTATGGACCACCGTCAGATAGTTATGGTCCTCCCGCGGACGATGCGCGTATTCTCTCCCACGGTGGATCCTCTTCTTCGTCTTCCTCTAGTTTTGTGTCTTCAAGCTCCCACTTGAGCTCATCGCACTCCAGTTCCGGATCGAACAATCTTCAATATTCTTCGTCGAATATACCAAGTGACTCCTATGGAGAACCTATTCATAGTTCCGAAGCTCAAGATCTCAAGACCTCTGTTCACCAATCATCCGCATCCTCCGAAAGCAACGGCCTGCCGCCTCCACCACTGCCGCATTACGAGAACTCTCAGGATCAGTATACTCCATCGAATGCAGGACTCGGATCAATACCAAGTGATCAGTATGGACCACCTTCATCGGGATCTATTCATCAGAACAATGTACAGGATCAACTTTTGCCGCAGTACGGTGCACCTAACGGTGGAGCACTTTCCATCGTAAAGACTGTAGGCTTCAAGCTTGTACCCAATTCAGGATCTTTAAGCTCCGATCTTCACGGACTTTCCATCTCAGACAGTAGCAGCTCCTCCTTTGGAGGCTCCTCACATTCCTTCCACTCCAATGCCGGCATAGCTTTACCTTTGACCGAGCAACCTCTTCAGACTTATGGAGCACCCGTATCAGGTTCCTTCTCTGGTTCCTCTTCTTTCGGAGGCGGTTTTGGAAGTTATGCGCCTGCCTTTACTAATTTTGGAGATCCTTCTCTGCCCTTACCGCCACCTCCACCACCTATCGATTCTTATGGTGCGCCACCTCCATCCTCCTACTCAAAGAATGGACCTTATCCACCTTCTCAGGGCATTCGTGGTGGAACCTCACACTCCTTCAGCAATGCCTTCGGCAATTCTTTTTCCAATTCATTCAGTAGTTCGCACCAAAAGCATGGACATCATCATCACAGGCATCATTCCCTGAAGCATGGTCCACCTCCATCTCTAACGGCATCTTTGATTCCTCCTAGAACTCGTCCACCTATAAAGTTCCGGGAACCCATCCCGCCAACGTTATTCACCTCCTTGCATCGTTTCGTACCTCCACATCCTCAGGTCGAGTTTAAAAAACCGCTACCGCCACCACCGAAGAATTTCGGTCCACCTCTGGTTCTCGATCAACAATTACCAACACTGGGTGCACCGATAGCTTTCCAATCAAGCGGAAGCGCTGGATCTTTTGCAAATTCATTCGATTCCAGCAATTCCTTCGGCAATGGCGCCTCATTAAGTTGGAACTCTGCCTTGGCTGCTCCTAACGTGAACTATGGGACGCCGTTGTCTTTTACCGACTTCAATACACCAGCACCGGTTATCACTTATGGTGCACCGAATTTTGGACCGGCCTCTTCCTTCATCTCTACCTCTTCCGGTTTCGGAGGAAACTTGTACAATAACATTGGAAACAGCCTTTCCACATATGGTTCACCTGCACCACCTTCTGGCTTATCTTTAGGACCTATTCACGATTGTGGTTTTCAGAAGTCCAGTGATGCTTTCAGTATCAAGGATCTGGGAAATCATGTGCATGTTGAGAGTTCCGGTTCCAACGATTACTCACAGTCAAGTTCACTCTCTTCCAGTGTCTCTAATAATCTTGTGGGATCGCTGAATGTTGATAGTCTCAGTTCATCGTTGAGTCCGGCACTGAATATTCCAGCCCTTAATCCTCAGTCAGCTATAAATTTACAGTCAAATTCATTGGCAGCTGCATATGCGCCGCCATCCGTGAACGAGCTCGATCTCCAGAGTCATGAACAGCAGAAGAATGATCTGAAGGACAGTTATGGAAATCCAATAGGAGTAAGTTATGGACTATCGGATCAGACTGGAGCAGCAGCAGCAGCCTTAACAACGAACCATATTCAAACGTCTTCCGACTACTCAAACATTCTCTCTGCATCGTCTGGTCAATCACTGAACTCTTACGATTTCGGAGGCAGTCTCCTCAGCGACGGAAATGGCCAGGTGTCAGCGGAAGCTCTAACCGCTGCGCTGACGGCGCAAGGGTTAGGTCAGGCCAAAAATTTGGGAACGGAACAAGTTGACGGGAATCAATTCTTAAAAACGTACGAGGGCAGCGAAGCTTTGGCACTTGCTCAGGGTCTGACGGCATCCGGTTCGGATGATTTCCAAATCCAAGGCTCCAGAGGGACGTACTCTCTTCAGATCCAGCCAGCCGACGGTGGTTTAGGAACATCGAATTCCGACGGAAATATCAGCCACGAACAGGTTCTATCTAACGGCCTCCTTCAGGATATCCTTGCAGCCATAGAACAGCCAGAGAATGGGCAAATTCAACTTCAGGGTCCGCCACAGGCTCAGCCTCTGGAGGAGGTCTACGGCGACTTGTCGAGATCAGCGACTAGTGACCTACTTCAGGCCAACGACCAATTTATAACTATTCAAAGAAGTACAGAGCATCACGCCGTGAAGCCGGTCGAAGAAGCTGCGGACAGAGACGGAAAAGAGTCACAGGAGGAATCCAAATCGTCCAACGACGAGGTAGCAGTTTTCTTCAAGGACAATTACAAAAAGGCAACAAAGAAGGAAACCAGATCCTTGGAGAATAAAAGCGAAGCGCAACCCATCCAAAGTTCGGCATCTTCGACAGAAGCTTCGCCGATGTTAAGCGCTTCCGCTGCTATCGAATCCTCTTGAGGTACCGGAAGTTTCATCAGCCCAAAGAGATCCTTCATGGAGATTTCGGTCCATTGGTTTCCAATTACCACTCGGACCCAAGACGATTGTAAAAGCCATGAAGATTCTCATATTCTCATACGCTCATTCGAAGCGTGAAATTATGAATCCTAGATCGTGATCGTAGATCCCTTCCTTATGATCGACTAGGATCATTCGTGTTCGACCTTTGGTATTGCGATTCTGAAAGGGATCGATCTTGACCTCGATCATCGAATTTACCTAATTTCACCGATATTCGCTGCGCCGATCGTGAAAAATCGGCGACCGCGATTAATACTCATTTAGGTCATTAGGTTACGCGCTCTCGCAGTCCACGTGTATCTAAATCATTGTATACTGATTTCTCGTGCGACACTCTAGATATACTATCGAAATAAGATGCTCAGTTTAGTAATAGGATAATGTCAGGCTCATTACGAATATCTGTCAGTGAGATGAACATAGAGATTATTCATCTATTGAAATCAATGATACAAGCGAATGAGGTACGATCGGTCTGTCATTGTCAATACTGACAACTTACAGTCATTATTACGAGTGACGCAAAGAGACTTTAGGTCTTCCAATTTGACTGAGGTCAAAGTTGACAAATGTTCTTTCGGCTCTTGATTAAAAATTCCTCAGAAACGGTGCTACGAGAGTCTGCTTCATCTTCGTGTTTCTTATTTACGTAATGACGCTGCTCATCCTACATTTCAAAGGTAAAAGCGAAGAGAAGCATCGTTACGAGCTCACAGGCCATACATATCCATTCTCAATATTTTATTGCTACTTTTTTTTTATATTAATTCATTAATTTATTGTTTTATTTTCGAGAGGACGACGTTCTTCGTATCTAAGGAAAAGATCGATACGCAAATTAATAAAAGTGATGTCTCCTTAGATACGACGCACTTTCGATACGTGTTTACTGAACCAGTGTACACGTGTAAATAAATGTATACTTTTTAAGTAAATTATCACTGATTTATTTACATTTCCCATGAACGAGTGTCTTAGCGTTAAGAGGATCCGGTGATAATATAAAATTTTACTAGTAAAATGAGGTTAGTACAAAATTGGTGGCCGTTAAGCTGCTGGGATGTCAGAGCATAACGCGTATCCACATATGTATATAAATTGGGAGGAAGGATGGAAACGTACGAGGGAATTAGGTATCTACTTCTAAGTAGGATTACGGTTATGTAAATCTAATGTTATCATAGATAGGAGGTTCTCGCAGAAGGATAGTTAACAGACGAGGTCTGGCATTGCTTTGCTTATCTTTTTCTACCTTCCACCGTCTCCACCTTCTCCACCTTCTCCACCTTCTTCGTTGGACCCTCGACCATTCCCTCTCTACGTTCTTTATATTCCCACCTCATTACCTTCTGCTTCTCCTCGATTCTCTTTTTACGATCGTCACGTGCATGAGAAAATTCCCACGTTTTTTCCTTTTCTTTTTCTTTTTTTTTTTTGGTTACGATCGCGTAACCTTACTCAACTGGGCTCATCGTCCGATGACTGGTGGTAGGTACATTCTTTTCTATACATTTAGACAGAGTGAGATGGCAGATTCGTTTCAGTGCATGTATAGTTTCTTATCTTTAATCGAAATTAAAGCTCGTAAGATAGTGAAATAGTGAAATAGTGAAATAGTAATACAGTCATACTCGAGTGAATCGTGTTGAATCAGGATACGAGAATCGTATGCATTTCTTGAAACGCTCGGAAGTGCTTTATTTCCATATCGAGTTCGTAGCTTGAACATTCATAGCGATCGCGCGAGACTGTCGTTGCCTCGGGGCTTGAAACGGAATGGAAAACATATAGGTAGGTGTGGACGAATCGTTCTCTTCAGCCATTCACTCACCCAGCCACCCAGCCACCCAGCTATCCAGCCACCCAGCCACCCAGTGTTCTATCTTATTTCTCCCTATAGGAAGTTTCGTTCATCGTTCCGGTCAATTGATCTAGGTTTCTCTGGGTCAAGTGCATTGAGAAAGGTCAGCTGAACGTGTAATGGACCAATTAAGTAGCCAGCCTTACCGTGGCTTTGTAACTCTCTAGTTTTTAGACTCACTTGAAAATACGAATCTGCGTTTCTACGCTTTGGACACGGCAAAGCGTTTTTATATTTTTATGGGCTTCTTGGCCAATTTTGAGAGGTTCGAGTTAATTGCAATTGTCTAGAGTGAAACTTGGAAGTCGCACGTAGTAAAGTAGAGCGAAAAATGCAGAGCGCGATTATCGCGGAGAAAGGATGAGACACGGGAACGTTCCTAGTGGATGAGCCAAGGAGTTCAAGAGTGAAAGAATTATAGGAGATAGAACTGCTGTAGCTGCGGCTCTAGCTGTTGTTGTTGTTATCGTCGTTAGACACGGTTCCCACGGTCTCAAGAGGGCGACCTGACTTTTAGATTGGGAACGTTACGATATTTATAGGATCAGCCAATTCCTGAAGTCGATCGCAACTTTACAAGGGTTAATAGGAATATCTGCCGTAGCGAAGTCAATGGAATAAAAGAAATGAAAAGAAAGGAAAAAAAGGAGTGGCTCGTGAATTCGGCCCGAAATTCCATAAAAATTGGTGAAATATGCATAGCGTCGTTGGAACGCACTGCTGCGCGTCGCGACGTCGCGGCTTTCCCAGGGGACGCAGAAATCCTGACAAGGAGAGAATCCCGAGTAAGGAAAAGGGGGATGGAAAAGGCGAAGAATGCCGAAGAAGAGAGCGGAGACTTCTCCTAGGAGAGAATATTCGGAACATCCTCCTGAAAGAAATCTAATTTCGGTACTGCGAGAAACTAAGCCATTTCTTTCCGTTTCATAATATGAGCATATCGCTATAACGATATACGTACCTGAGGGCAGGATGTGGCTGAAGGAGGAGGAGGCCGAGGGAGAGGGAGGATGAAAAAGAGACAGAGACGAATAGTAAGCGAGTATAAGGGTGCAGAAGCGCATGCAAGTTCCACATTGGTTTTCCACTCTGGGAAAATGGTTGGAATGCCTGATAAAAATGCCAACGTCATATTGCCAGCGTATCTTGGCGTCTTGGGATGCTGCCTCGGATGACTGGAGGTTAGGCAGTAGGCAGGCGCCCGCCAAGGGTGTTAGTTCAGACAGCCGAAAGACGATCCCTCATCTCCCGGACACTTAGCGAGGCGTCGTTTGTCTCTTGTCTGCTCGTCTGTCCGTCTGTCCGTCACACCCTTTGGATCGTCCACTTCCACTTCCAATTCCAGTTCCAGTTCCACCTCCACTTTCACCCGTACCCTTGCGACAGATATGTACACCCTTCTTCATTGAAATTCATATATATTTGGAGTCAGTGAGAATTGAGGGTGAATGTATATAGGTCTACATACATATACGTACATGGCTATTTATGTACTTTTATCCCACAGTGTAAAATCATCCCCTTCTCGGGAATTGAATAGAAAGCCCTCGCTGGGTCTCTTCTCTGATTGCCAGATTGCTGCTTCCGTTGAACGTCGATGGGTGTGATTAGTCAAATTGCAAAAAGTGTATTAAGGGTGGTTTTGGTATAATTTTATCGAGAACGTTGTTACTATTAATACCTAAATTTCGAGGCACTGATATTAAGGCGCGACTTACACCGTCAATTTGGTATAGGGTGTCTCCTGAAATTTTGAAGGGAATTTTCCAATTGGGGATGTTGAATGGCTGGGTAGGCGGTGGTGGTGATGGTGGTGATGGTGGTGGTTAGTGAGACTGGGGGTTCCTGGTTCTGCCCTCATAATTAAGCCGACGCTGGTTTTTGATGGCCACTAAAAATGTCGCGGAGGGTTGCCCGAGTGGTTAAGGAGTCTCGGCTGGTGAGTCTGGTGAAGCTGGAAGGGTGGCTCCAGGGGTGGCTGCCAGAACGACGTATAACGTTGCTCCCGTTCTTACGCTCTGATATTAGCAATACTCCGACTCGTAAAGTCGACTGTGCGGCAATTCGAGTCACTTTGCGAACCCTTTATACACTTCCATCCCCCCAGAGCAGCCCGTGAGGAAGGCATACTCCCTCCTTAAAGGGGACCAGAATATAGTCCCCGTTGGTATCTACGAATTCATTCCGTTGTGCCTTTCGCTGAGCGTCGTAAGGCGTCGGGACGCGCCTCTAGTCGAGCACTGATTTTAATGCCTGTGCTTCCTCAATTTTATGACTCTATTCAGCCTGGAAATTTCGGCACTGGAATATCCCGTGGGAATTTCACCCCGCTATATACTTTTCATTATCCCGCTGCAGTACTGTGTTTTGGCAAATTGACGGTAAGTGGAATACCAGGTATGATCAGAGGGTCAGGAAGAGATATTTCTATTGGAAATGGTAACTGTGAATTGTCAGGTGAAAGCCTGATAAAACATGGAACAGTTGAGAAATCCAAGAAGGTGATCCGTCGCCAAGGATTTGAGAGGGAGTAGGCTACGATTGGCCGGCGAGTAATTGCAATTACTTAGGTAATGGTTCGGCTGTTATTATTTCCAATTACAATTAACCTTTTCAGTAGGTAATTAAACGAAAGGCAGGATGGGAGAGAGTCGCGGATATAGGTGCTCGCTTGGTGTGCCGCGCCTCTCTGATTTAATAAGTTCATTACCTAATGAACAGATGTACGAGGCTCTCGTTACTCCCTCCGACCAGCCAGCTCGTCGAGGCTCGGACCTCCACCCCCCCCCCCC